GGGGCCGAGTGTCTCAGTGTCCCAATAACTGCCGCAAGCACCTCTGAGGGAAAGCCGCCCTCAAGCTCGCCCGCTGCCAGACAGTCCAGTTTCTCCCTGTCTGAGTCCTGGGTCCCCAGAGACTTCCCGGAACTGGAGTTCAGAGCAGTCGGGAGCTTGTGACTCCCTCCTGATTCAAAAAGACAGTCGTGTCCTCAGGTACCAGCTCCTTTCTGTGCGCACTCGCTCAAGCCTCCACACCTTTGCACTTTACTTCCGCAGCTCCTGACTCTCAGTGTGCTTTTCTCTTTCCTTCTAGTTGTAGAATTTCCACTCAGCCAGCCTTCCTGTAGTTCTGGATGATGTCCGTTTTGTCTTTTTGTTGTATTTGTGAAGTTGTTGTAGGAGGCAGCATTTTCGGTGTTTACCTATGCCGCCATCTTGGTTTCCAGTCTCTATTGTCTATTTCTTAATCTGGCCTTATTTTTCAGTAATTCAGAATGGTTTTATGTAAATGGACATATGGAAATTAGGAATGTTAGATTTTGGTCATAACTAAAATGTGAGTCAAAAGTTTTGTTTGCTCACCCTGGCTGGTTTGGCTCAGTGGATAGAGCATTGGCCTGTGGACTGAAGGGTCCCGGGTTCGATTCTGGTCAAGGGCACATACCCGGGTTGTGGGCTCGATCCTCAATAGGGGGCGTGCAGGAGGCAGCTGATCAATGATTCTCTCATCATTGATGTTTCTGTGTCTCTCTCCCTCTCACTTCCTCTCTGAAATCAATACAAATATATTTTTTAAAAGTTTAATTTGCTCTGTCTTAAGAACATTTCTTTCTTTTGCCATTCTTGCCTCTCGCAGATGGTTACTAGTGGCTTTTTCCTGAACTGCATCCAGGGGAGGTCAGTAGCCACTTTCTAATATGTGGATTCTCATTTTCTTCTTGCTAAAGAGGCAGCTGTGTATTGGTACTTTACTTCGGTTGATATTTTTTACTCAAAATAGAATTTGGTCAACATTCATAATTAAGAGTATTTGTTTTGCATATTTATACAGTATTATTATTTATACAGTAATAAACAAGGGACTTCCAGCATCTACTCTTCTCTGAACCTTACCACACATTGTTTGAAAACAAAAAAACAAGGACTCATTCTGTATATAAAGAATTCTTTCTCATGTTTTAAAAATGTTCATTTTTTTTTACCTAATACTTGTGCTTTTGAGAATTTATCTTAAATAATTTTAAACACAGAAAAAGCTTAATGTACAAAAATATTCCTGAAAGCATTAGTTCCGAAAGCAAAAAATTAGACTCTCCCATGTTCAGTAACAGGAGAATGATGAATTATAGTAAAATCTCTTGACTAGAATATTATGCCACCTTTGAAATTATTTGTAAAGATGAACTAATGTGAAAAAATTAGTTAATTATTAGAATAAAGCAGCATACAAAATGTATGTATATTTCCAGCGTTTAACAAGTGAAACCCTGGACATGGAAGATACTCAGGGATGCCCATTTTCACTTTTCTCAGTTTGCTTGACTCCATAACGGTTAGGGTTTTCATGCTCTGGTCCACCTGTGCTATCAATAGCTTGTGTTAAAGGCAAGCATAGGCCTCTCTGACATTGGCATCTACAAGGTAACTGGTGTCATGAGATCAGTTGGTTGAGGAGGCTGAGTTGGCAAGATGATCTCTCTTAGGGCCATGTGTGTTTTGGAACAAGGCATTACCATAATCAGTTGTTTTCTTTGGAATAAGTTTTCTACACCCACAGATCAGACACAGAGGGAAAGGGCCTTCTGCCCTGGAATTAGGTATGTGGGACATTGATGTTTCATTTCCGAAGACTGCTTGTAAGCTAAGGAAGCAACTTTGTACTGAATTTAAATTGTGGCCTGCACTTGATTTTCCCCCAGGCCATTTATGCCAGCGTTCTTCCTGGAGAGTTAATGAGGGGGTACATGACTCAGTTTCCCACCTTCCCCAGCTGGTTGGGTAAGCACTCCTCTACAGGCAGACACGATCGTCTTGTGCAGGATCTAGCATTGCACATGAGTCTCAGGTAAGTGGTAAAACTCCATTTCTGGTGGTAGAAATGTTTGTAACTTTAAGATAAATTTAAAACTGTATTCCTCTGAGATAGTGCTATTACTAATAGTCATATACAATATCTCTGCTTAAGAATAATTTAATTGGAAAAGGGAACCATATAGATAAAACAACTAGTTTTTACCTATCCTAGTAGTAAAGTGACCTGGTCATTTGGGATGGAGATACAGTTTACCTTTAACAGGAAGTCAATACTCAGATGATTGAGAACCAGTGTGTTTGGAGAAGTTTAAGGACGTTCAAAATTCTTACTTGGTACAATTTTGATAATGTTTAAGAACTTAAAAAATGTGCATGCATACACACATTAAGTGAACTTTAGGGGTTTACTTTTAACCATGAAAAACTACTTGAGCAATCTTACTTATCTTTCTGGTCTGGGGAGAGGATATTAGTATTTGGTTCACCCTTGGCTTTTGGTTAAAGCTGAACTGAGTTCTTCTACTTCCTGCTCCATTCCCTCTTCTTAGCCTGTGGCATGAGCCTTTTATTGCCACCATGGTGTTAGTTTTCTGTTGCTGCTATGACATATGACCAAAATTTAATGGCTTAAAACACAAATTCATTCCCATCTTCAGATGGGAAGACTATCCTGGATTATTTGGGTGAGCCCAGTGTAATTGCAAGGGTCTTTATAAAAAGGGGGGGGGGCGGGGGTAGCAGTGTCAGAGAGAGATTGAAGATGCTCACTGCCACTTTGAAGATGGGGAAAGGGACCGTGAGCCAAGGGATGCATGCAGCCTGTGGAGCTGGAAACGGCTTTCCCCTGCTGTCCTCACTGGTCCAGTTGTGGCCTCTCAGCTCTCTCCCTGCTCCCTGTCCACTGCTGTTAATATCAGGACCCCAGTGCCCTAGGGTGTCCCCTGTAGTGCCCGTACTGTGCTCATGTGGTTGTGAGCACTGGACTTTCAGTGTTTCATGGCTGTCCTTTTGGATGTCTGCCCCCTTCTCCCGTTCGACAGAACTTTTCTGGGGGTAGGAACTGAGGCTCACTCCCTAGCACATAGAATTGCTGAGCAAGTGTTTCTTAAGGAATCATATATAGGCCACTATCATCATCAAGCACATCTGTATTGAGCCTCTCAACTTGTAAAGTAAATTAAAATGTTCCTACTTAACTTTTATAGCCCAGGTTTCTCTTTTTTAAAAATGGAAAAGTGTGATATTATTACACTTAATCTTTTTTGGGTCATAGATGCCTTTGAGAAGCCGAAGCTTTGGTCTTTATTCCCCCCCAATTGCACTAATGTACAAATACAATTTCAGGGGAAGTAATAGATTTTTGAGGATAGGACCCTTGATTTAGACCAGTGATGGCAAACCTATGACACACGTGTCAGAGGTGGCATGCGAACTCATTTTTTTTGGTTGATTTTTCTTTGTTAAGTGGCATTTAAATATATAAAATAAATATCAAAAATATAAATCTTTGTTTTACTCTGGTTGCAAATATCAAAAAATTTCTGTATGTGACATGACACCAGAGTTAAGTTAGGGTTTTTCAAAATGCTGACACGCCGAGCTCAAAAGGTTCACCATCACTGGTTTAGACGATGCTTTTAGACTTTATTAGATTTAATGTTATGTGATCCTACTAGAAGGTAACAGTGATGTAACAAATTACAAGACTAATTTTGGAAAAGGTTTGATGATTGATTGTCTTGGGCAGTGGGCTTACGGCTCATACTTATCTTCAAGTATGCTGGATTATAGGAGACAGACTCAGAGGAAACGGGTGAATTAAAATGGGAGCAGTTTGAACTCTTTGCCTAGTTAATAAAACAGTTGTGGGCCAGGTTCTAGATTTCTGATAGGGGAACTGTGTGGGGTCTTGTGATTCAGACATTCAGTTGCCTGAAGGGAGGAGCATGACCCATAGGTAATTTTTATTTATTATTATTATTTTTTTAAAATATATTTTTATTGATTTCAGAGAGGAAGGGAGAGGGAGAGAGAGAAACATCAATGATGAGAGAGAATCATTGATCGGCTGCCTCCTGCACACCCCGACTGGGGATTGAGCCCACAACCTGGGCATGTGCCCTTGGCTGGAATCGAACCTGGGACCCTTCAGTCCGCAGGCTGACACTCTATCCACTGAGCCAAACCAGCTCGGGACATCGGTAATTTTTAAAAGGATTTTTCATTTCCTTTCTGATTTTAGTGTGGGTCCTGGAGTCAACAGCTTTTGAGGTCTCTTGTTTGAAGTGTACATAGATATTTAGTTGCCTGGTTTGAGGATGGTGGCAGCTGGGTTGGAAGATTTAGGTTGGCGACATTGGAAATATTGTTTCGTTCATCTATTTTCTGTCTTTAAGCGACAGTGTTTAAATAGAAAGAAAAACAGCCTTTTCGTGATACCATTCTAGTTCTCAGTCAGTTAGAGACTGCTTTTCTGTCTTTCCCTGGCCAGAATGCAGGAACATTCTTGGCAGTTTATTAGATTTGGTGAAAACCCTGCTCTAGAATTAAAAATTTCAGAGTAACAGTGTTAGGAAATGTGAGGGAAGCTTTCATATGTAATTTTGTGTGTTACAATCCAGAGAGCAAAGTTTTTCAGACCCTCCTTAGGAAGTGGTAGCGGCACTTTAGGTAGGCAAGCTCAGTGGCTTTTAGGGATGCTTTTCACATTTGGAACTGGGAACGAGTAACCGTTGGCTGTGAGAAGTATGAGCACATGGAAGCACTGTTGTTGCCTGGGCCTTAAAGAGTAGGATGGAAGCAGAACCTCCATTTGTGTTTGCATGCTCTGATGCAGGTAAGTAAAAAATTCCCTTGGAGTGTGTTGGTGTCTGTACATGACCCAACTATGAAAACAGTAGAGGCATTCCATTGTGCATTATTAAAAGTGGGTTGAACTCCCATCTGATATGCATACTGTGACTTGAATCGGTGGTAGTTCGCTATTGACTATAGCTGTGTCTCTTTTGTTTTGGTTTAAGAACTTACTCCAGCAAAAGGACTATAAATATGGATTATCTATCACATATAAGGGATGCACTTGTACAGCCCTTGACCTCACAAGGGGTAGAAGGAGTACAGGACGTTGTTGCCCTTATGGATGCCTATTATTTGATGAAAGAAGACTTTGAGAATATCATGGAGATGAGCAGCTGGGGAGGCAAGCCTAGTCCCTTCTCCAAGCTGGATCCCAAGGTAAATTGTGTCACCCAGTGGCTCTCCATCACTGTAATTACCGGGTTTGTATTGGGAGTACTTCAGAGGTGTTTTATGTGCTTTAAAAGGTTTTGCTTTTTCAGTGCTTTTTGCTTCTATGGCCTGTGCTTTCCAAATACACTATTTGAGTATGATATAAAGAAAAGACTTTTGGATTTAACTTTACAATTTGTATGTTTATCTTTGCTTTATGCTGAGTGGAAAAGCAAGATGTGAAAGCTGAGGAACAAATATAAATATATTCCTTATGAGGAAGTGTGGGCAGCTGAGCCCGGTGAAGGAACCGAGGAAAAGAAGTGCTAACTGGCTGAGGAGTGTTACACTTAGTCTGCCCATTCAGTGGATTCAGTTATTCCAGTTGTAATCTGTTGTGTAGTAATGTACCCCCTACTTCACATAATGAGCATGAAAAACCTAAAGTGACATAACATGAATATGTACTATCTAATACCTCACTTTGTGCCTGTTTGTTTGCTGATGTTTTAGAAGACGTTCTCTGTGGCTTGCCTTCTCTGGAATTCCAACCTGGCTCAATGGTTGTGGGTACAGGAGACATCTACAGTTAGCATTCATGGACTAATTCTGCAATGATTAGAAGCTCAATGTTAAGGCTTTTCAAGTTATTTAGTATATTGAACTAGCCACTATTAGTAAAAGTATTTTGTAAATAAAGGCCAACTTTAACTTGTATCTTATTGTGAGCCTTTTTTGACTTCCTGATTACTGACTAACCTTATCACTTGTAGAATTGCAGAGAGCACTGAATTAGGTAAAAATGATGACTTAAAAGTCAATTTTTTGGGTCTGCCTTAAAGTTTTCAAATACTGATTATCTTTTTTTTTTTTTTTTTTAAATATATTTTATTGAGTTTTTACAGAGAGGAAAGGAGAGAGATAGAGAGTTAGAAACATCGATGAGAGAGAAACATCGACCAGCTGCCTCCTGCACACTCCCCACTGGGGATGTGCCCGCAACCAAGGTACATGCCCTTGACCGGAATCGAACCTGGGACCTTTCAGTTCGCAGGCCGACGCTCTATCCACTGAGCCAAACCGGTTTCGGCCTGATTATCTTTTTGAGTCATGGGCTCTATTAAGAATATGAAAAATATGGACCTTCTCCATAGAAAAATGCATACATATATAATAAATATACACACATGTGTATAAATATTTTGCAAATCATTTTAAGGGGCTTCCAGGGTCTTTCAAAGTCTGTAGGCCTACAGAGTTCAAAAGGATTCTCTGGCACTTAGATTTTAGGAGTCCCCTCCTTTTCTTTTCTTTAGGTGAAGGCAGCCTTTACGAGAGCTTACAATAAGGAAGCCCACCTGACTCCGTACTCGCTCCAGGCAGTGAAGGCCCCCAGGCACAGCACTGGCCCTGCGCTGGATCCTGAGCACAGTGAGGAGTTCCAGGAGGATGACTCTCAGTCTGATGAGAAAGAGCAAGACGCTGTGGAAACGGATGCTATGATCAAGGTAGTATTTTAAGCTACAGAGAGAAGCTCTGATACTCCCGCAAACTAGTTTATTTTTTCTTGTGTAATTTACCTTCAGAAATTATTCAGGGCCTGTTTAGCAAGTAGCAGAGTAAGCTCTGAAAATACTTCTAAGTTTTTTTGTTCATCACAGTTGAAGGTGGAGAAGGTATAGATTTCACTTTTTAAAAAATCCTCACCTGAGGATATGTTTATTGATATTTTGGGGGGTTGGGGGGAATAGAGAGAGAGACATCGATGTGAGAGAAACATTGATTGGTTGCCTCCTGTATGTGCTCCGACAGGGGATTGAACCTGAAACCTAGGTATGTGCCTTGGCCAGGAATCAAATCCACAACCTTTTTGCTGTATGGGATGACACTTCAACCAACTGAGCCACCCACTCAGGGCTAGCTGTTTCACTTTTATAAACAGCTTCTAATAATAGTGGAAGAGCCAAAAAGCAAAATATAGGCCATCATATTGATGGTCATATGCTCTGTTAGAAAAAGTAAGATTTTTACTTTTTTGATCATTGGTTTGTGCTTTACCCACACACATTTTCACAGCACAACCAAGAAAATCATTTTCAATGAAACCATTTCTCCCTTCTATTATTTCTGTTTTGCTATAGCCACTGAATTGCCTATAGAAATTTTTCAGAGCAAACATCCTTGTCTTTTGCTGGAATAGGTTAGAAGCATTTATGGTATCAGCCCACTGTTTGCTATAGCAAAGGAATGTAGTCTGTATCCTCCTGTATCGTGTGCGTATCATTCTCGCCCTCTCTGGCTTTGTATATGCAGCGGTCGGAATAGTGGCCTTCACCAGTGTAGCTCCTCTTCCTGTCTAGTCTTGTGTAGACATAAGAGGTTGTCTCCTCCCTTCTCCTCAAACTGGGCATGTTTAGACTCTCGAATCTGAAACTGAAAGAAAAGTAACTTTTTACCCTGTTTGTAAATTATGTCTTACTTATATTTTGTCTTTCCTAAATATATCTATGTTCTAAATCCAAGAAACTGCATTCATGAGGAACATATGTTGGTTCTAGATTTTAAATAGCTTTTTAGTTTTATGGCTATCTTATAAAGGCTACAAGTAGTTTATTGAAATTAAGCTCATTGGGGGTAGCAATAGTTAAAGATACATAGATATTTGCAACCTTTCTTCTTTACTAATTAAGTTGCAGGTAAAGATTTTTATAGAGATGAACTTACTTCATTTACTCATAACACAGTTATTAACTATTTTCTGCATCTTTCCCTCCCAACAGAAAAAGACAAAATCTTCAAAGCCTTCAAAATCAGAAAAAGATAAGGAGTCCAGAAAAGGAAAAGGAAAAGGAAAAGGTTCAAAGAAATGAAGCTGTTTCTTACTACTGACGGTCACTTTTTACTCACCCTGTTGACCAGTCCAGCTGGTCTAGAGGAGGCCTTATTTTTTCCAAAGGAACCATAATAGGGCGACTGAGTGGTCCCATTATCAGTAAATGGTGGTACAGCTAGCAGGATGCAACCGGTAGGCTGATGTACACCTCTTATAGAGGTTGATAGGACTGTGTGGGTCCTCCACTGCCCCCTGTCCATCTAATTCGATTGTGCTTCAAAATGACTGTGTATAATCAGAATTAGAAACTACACGTGGGCTTTGGAATTAGATTTTATTTAACAATAATATGCCTGACAACAGTGGTACTAAGGCAGCTTTTGTAAGCTTAACAATTTATTCTAATGTCCTGAACATTTTTTTAAAGATAGTTACTATTATGTGGTGAAGTTTTGTAAATAAATCATAATACAAAATAGTCACCACCTAGAACTGGGTATTCTTTTTGTACATTGTCAAGTATGTTGCAGAATGTAAATTAGGAATAAAAATGTCCCATATGGTACATGTATAAATTCTTAAGCCTATCATCTTGTATAGTAAAATACTATGTTGGTATATGACTTTCCTTACTAATTTGCAAATGATTGGATAAAAGAAGTTAACTTTACTACTAACCCGTTATGTGAAACATAACTTTGGCAATTGAAGAGTTAGCACTCTGATTTCCAACTTCATTACGGCTGTGAATGCTGTGAATAGGATTTCATGGGGAGGCCTTTTAGTTATTACTAGAGGGTGTGGCTGCAAAATGATGGGTGGTCATTCCTATCCTTCCTGAGTCTCATCCCATCAGTAAGTCTCAGGCTTACTCTGGCGTGGGACAAAGTGAACACTGGCTTTGGTTTAGTTTGTCCCTGGGAGATGATTCTGTTCAGTGATGGAGCCCACAAACCCTACTGGAACTTTGGGTTGTCACTGTCCTTGCTGCGTGGCCCCGAGGCTGTGGAAGTGGCCTGGAATTTAGGTGTCCAGCTGCTTTTAATCTTGTCAGTAAATGCTAAGAGATATGTGAGGAAAGGAATGTAAAATCAGGATCTGATTCCTGTTTCTAAGGAATGGAGAGTCTTGTTTGGATGGTTAGACATACATTGAAAGTGTATTTACCATGTGAAAAATGTATTTCGTGGAGATTAAGTTCATTATGGGAACAAAACATTGCCTATTGAACCGCGCCCCTCTCTGTTCAAGCCTGGCTTGAAACTTCTGCGTCAGTGAAAATTCCCTTGATTGACGACTGCCTCCCCTAACCAGGTGGCTGAGCTTGAGTTTCTTACGCATGCTCTCCTATTTCTGCTGCTTTTGGATATGCAGGTCATATCTGCCTAAGTGCTCTGTGCTCCCCAGCAAAGGGACTAATATCCTTGCAGTCAGAACAAAGAACAGTGTCCTTTACTTGCTCATGACTTTAATTATAAATGCTCTACCCATGATTGGCATAATTTTTGTAGTAATATGAATAACTCTGCTTTTAGAATTAGAGATTATAAATGTGCCTTTTAAAATATGAGAATGACAAGATGTTAGACTCCTGGCTGAAGCCCTCATGACTCTGAGGTGTGTGGCTGAGGTAAATGCAAGGTAGGTGCTGGGTTCCACAGCAGTATGAGTGTGAGTCTAAGGGGTCTGTGTCCTTTTTGGAGCCAGCAGAGGCCACACTTTATCTTTGCAGCATAAAACTGCGTACTTGCTTTTTTTGGAGATGCATTGGATGAATGTTGGCCATTTTGTTATCTACAACAAACTACTATATCCTCCATCTTTTTAAATCTGGCAGTTCATGAATAAAGAATGTCTTCCTAAGTGAGTTCTGGTACAATTATGCACATGAATGAGTGTCTAAGGCCTGAAACTCCCAGAATATAATGTACTTCACCTCACAGATCCCAAGTGCCAGCAGCTCTTATTCCTATACCCTTATACTACCCCCATAGTGGGTGGGATTATTGGTAATGACTCGTGTTGTAGCACTTAGGGAGGGAAGAAGAGGCCATAGAGCTGGAGGCAGCATGCATGTGGATACTTGGATTGTCCCCTAGGCTTGCAGGCACCTCTAGTGCTCAGAATGCTGGTAGCCATACTGCAAAGACATCATCTGACACATTCGAAGTTAGGCTACACTACTCATTTCTGTTAGCTGTTTAGCCTGTGGTTACATTGGCTTTGGATGGCAAGGCAGCTTGTAGGAAGAGAGTGGTGTGTGATATGGGGAAGGAATGCTCTAAGCACCTTGGGGAAGATGCTGAATAATTTTGTCTTCAGGGGAAATCAAATGATTTAATTTTTGTGACAAGAATTCCATAGTACACAGTGTAACAACTCAGGACTATATATATATAATGACTATAAGCTTCTAGTTTCATTCTCTCAAATATTTGATTTTAGTGGTTTTGGGTGTTTTTATTTCAGGGCTAACTAGTCTTGATTTGTGTAAACTTCTTATTTCAAACTTTCAACAGTGTTAATATCTGAGCTGCACACTGTACTTCAAGCTGCCTTCTTTTGTCTCCAAATCCAGAGAAACATTACAAATATCTAGTTAGCAATTTTATTTTAAAAGACATACTTCAAAAAAGCTGAATATTTACAATTATGTCATAGGTGACTATTAACAATGCAGAACATATAATCTGTAAGACTTTGAAGAGGAAATATACAAAGTGTAATAAACAGCAGTGTTATATGTTACTGTTTTGTCACTCTGTAGAAGTTGAAAGGGGCAACCTGGAAAGGTCACCTTGGTTTTTGTCTTCTGTACCCGGGAAGGTCCATCAAAGGCATAAACACAGCCTCATAGGAAAATGCTGTCTTCCCAGGAACATATCTAGAAAGCACAACAAACATGGCCATGTGCCTTTAGAAGGGTTTCAGGAAACTGGCATTTAGTGATAAAGCCACGCACACTGAAGTTTTCTTGCTTGTTTATGGAATGTGGAGCAGGATCTCTACATTCCCACGGTAGAAATCTTCAGTCTGTCAGCATGGTGTTTCAGTTGTGGCCTTGAAACCAACTAAAAAGGTGTGAGGAACTCTCGTGCACTGCTGGTGGGAATGCAGACTGGGGCAGCCACTGTGGAGAACAGTATGGAGTTTCCTCAAAAAATTAAAAATGGAACTCCCATTTGACCCAGGGATCCCACTTCTAGGAATATATCCCAAGAAACCAGAAACACCAATCAGAAAGGACATATGCACCCCTATGTTCATAGCAGCACAATTCACCATAGCTAAAATTTGGAAATCAGCAGGTGAGTGGATTAAAAAATTGTACATCTACACAATGGAATAATATGCTGCTGTAAAAAAAGAACACTATCATTTGCAACAGCATGGATGGACCTGGAGAGCATTATGTTCAGTGAAATAAGCCAGTTGGAGAAAGATAAATATCACATGATCTCATTTGTGGAATATAATGGACAACTTAAAATGATTAAAATAGATCCACAAGCATGGAATAACTGTTGAGCTTGTGGGGGGGAGGGGGTAAGAGATCAACCAAAGGACTTGTATGCATGCATAACCAAAGGACACAGGGAGGCAGCTGGGGAGAGGTCAATGGAGAAAAAAAGGAGACATATGTAATACTTTCAACAATAAAGAATTTAAGTTAAAAGATAAAAGATTAAAATATAGGAAGATCCCCCCACCCTCCCCCCAAAGAAAAAAAAAACTCCAAAACTCCAAACCCCAAAACAAAACAAAATGGTGTGGACAAGCTGTTGAACTTCTGATGGACCATCTTACTGGAAAGAATGAGAAAAAACTTCTGAAATGAAATGGTTGTTAAGAATTCCTTGTCTAAAAGGAGTCAGTGAACAATAGCTTCAACCAGTACTCATCAGTACTCATCCTATACAATAAAAGCCTAATATGCCAAGTCTCTGACGGTTCGCTATGATGCACTCTGACCACCAGGGGGCAGAAGCTCTGACCTGTAGATTAGCTTGCTGCTGGGGTCCGGCCAATTGGGACTGGGCGAGATGGGCTGGTCATGCCCTCCCGTGGTCCCTCCCCAGCCCCGATCGTGCACTGGTGGGGTCCCTTGGCCTGGCCTACCTCCTCTTGCAACCTGGGACCCCTCAGGGTATGTTGGAGCCAGTTTCGACGCAATCCCTGCAGACCAGGCCAAGGGGCCCCACCAGTGCACAACACTGGGCGCTCTAGTTGTATAATAAAATATTTATAGTGACTTTTGCAAAAGGTCATGCATAATCATGCACTGAGCATATTTGTGAGTAGCAGTGATACCACAGTCTAAGACTCTACAGACGATTATTAAAAACACAGTGTTCTACTTTGGGAAGTGGCAGAGTTGCAAATGAATCCTTCCACAGGTAACGCTATATTTTATCTTCATTTTATAACTAACTAGAGCAATCACTGTTCGATTCCTGATCAGGGCACGTGCCCCGACTTGATTCTCGGTGGGAGGCTTGCAGAAGGCAGCCGATCAATAATTCTCTCTCATCATTGATGTTTTTATCTTCCTCTCCCTCTTTGAAATAAATATGAAAAAAAAAATTCTGCCAACAAACAGGTTGGATGAAGACTGAACCTCAGGTGAGATTACAGCTCTAACCAACAGTAGCCTTGTGAGGCCTTGAACAGAAGACCAGCTAAACCATGCTTCCACTCCTGACCCACAGATGGCAACACGGGGCTTCTGAACTACTTTCTCTACAGGCACAGCAAATCTACAGTGACATACTGAATAGTTCCCTCTGAGTGAAATCCAGGATCTAGCCAAGTGAATGAGAAAACCCACATTGAAATGAGAGACAGAATCTTGCTATAAACCTCACAACTTCCAGCTTCTTCCTGAGGAATGAACGGTTTGGACTCCACAGCTGGCATCCTGCATTTTAAGACTCCCACCTAAGAGACCCCCAAAACATCTAGCTTTGAAAGCCAATGGGCCCTGAATCCACAAGACCTACAACTAAGGAATAGTTCCCAATGGGATTGTATGAACCCATATGGCCAGCACAGGGAGCAGACTGAAATGCATCCAGTCTTTCTGTGAAAGAGGTCTATTTGCTAATCTTGAGAGCTACAGCCCAAGAGAAGGCTTGGAGCGTAACATATACCTGGGGCAAGTACAGTGCTCCCCAGAGACTTGCAGGTGTCATCTTCGTACTCTCCCTCTGCCCTGACTACGGTCTCTGGTGTCTCCCAGAAAGGACCTTGGGTACAAATTTAGTGCTCTGGTGTTCTCTGCTGCTTTCCAAGCGACACCCTTTAATTGTAGAGCTTACTTTCACGGGTCCCCAGGACTGTCCCAGGGAGTGTTCTTAACCTGCCACCGAGGCTCAACACAGGCAGCTGATAGAAATGCTTAACCTTTCCAGAAGGAGGCCCATTTGCTTATCTTAATAGCTGTGGGCTTTCACTCAGTCTGAATCGAGGTGCTGACTGAGATCCTCCCATTTGGAACACAGATCTTGGCATTCCCTCAACCACTGGGGCCACAAGAACTAAGACGGCGACTTGGACAATCACAAAGGTTTGAGAGAGAACCAAGAGCTAGGGCAGGTTGAATAAGGTTCATTCCCCACACAAAAGCTCTCCGTGACTGGGAGAGGTGGCTTGTTTATCTAAAGCATAGACACCAACA